TGCCTGACTACCAAAATCTTTCAATGCCACCAGCAGAACACTGCTAACAGTTACACAGTATTTATCCAGAGATATATTTATGTAGCACTTGAGCTTATCTCTCAAAAAGGAAGTTTTAGTAGGAAGCTGAAGTCACTGATTTCAGTAAAAGAAGTCTTGTCCCTGCTATATTGCATCCATTCATGGCAGTGCCCTCCCGTGGCCAAGAAAACGTGTGGGAAGTTTGAGGGTCCATTCCTATCTACTGTCAGTCTTTTCTTGCCTGCTCAGTGAAATGATGTGCTGCTTGGTTTTAGGCAACTTGCTTCATTCTGCAGTTTCTCGGCTGCTCCATCTGCAAAATGAGGATAATAAGAACTGCATCTCTTAAGGAATCAGACTGCCACTCATGAAAGTTTCTGCTGTGCTTGGGATCTTCAGTTTGTGCTTGCTGAAGTAAAGAGGAGGTTTTTTTTTAAAGTGATTACAGTGTTGATATGCTTGTGATGACTCCCCAGCAGGCATGCAAATATGTTAAAAGGCCAAACTCATTTCTCATTTGTACTTGTATAATTCCCTGCAACTCCAGCAATGCAGACAAGGTTACTCCAGCTGAGCATGTTGCAGAATCTGGTTCCACAGCAACTCAGTTTAGACATTAACGTGTAATAATTGAAAGTAGAGAGGTTATTATTCGCATTATAAGCCACTTTGAACATCACCAGTCACTCTTCCCAAGAGAACAGTGCAGAGGAAATGTGCTGTATTGGGAGGCTGAAATACCATTTCCTAGGTGCTGGAAACCTGGGAATAAGTAGCTCTAAGTATGGGCTAATTAAGTGAAGGATGGTTTTTCTCTCGCAGAAAAGAGAGCTCCTGGCAGCTCCTCATGAAAGCTGACGTTACGTGTCCCTGGAAGATGCAGAGCAGGGAGTGAAATATTTACTTTCCTAATGAAGGGAAGTCAGCCTTCAAAGTACACTGTGCTTTCGTGTACAGAGTGAAACCAGTCAACTGACTGGTCTGAGAGGAATGGCCCCTCCAGTATGGACAGAAACTGCTGAGAAAAACAACAACAGAAAGATGAACAAGCACAAATCAGGCACCAAGCCTACATTTCTCAAAATACGAAGCGTGTGCAATGGTGCCAGGCATACAAAACACATGGTATGGTTACTTCCTGCCTGGGTGATGCATGTAGATACACTCGTCTTGGGAAGTGCTGGTACAGCAGGCTCAGAGCATACTGATGATTCAATCTCTGAAGTAATTCAAAATGACAGTCATGCTTGTGAAGACTCACAAAGTCCTTATCTCCCTTTTAAAGCAAAGAAGTTACTGCACCAACAGGAAAATAGAAGGACTGCTGGAAGGCTTTACAGCAATGCATATCAATGAAAGGCTCCTCTTGGCTAGCTATTCCAGAGTGACACATATTCACAGTATCACAGTATCACACAGTATGCTGGAGATTGGAAGGGACCTCAAAAGATCATCTAGTCCAATCCCCCTGCCAGAGCAGGAACACCTAGATAACGTTACACAGGAATGTGTCCAGGCGGGCTTTGAATGTCTCCAGGGAAGGAGACTCCACAACCTCCCTGGGCAGCCTGTTCCAGTGTTCCGTCACCCTCACTGAGAAGAAGTTCCTTCTCAAGTTTAAGTGGAACCTCTTGTGTTCCAGTTTGCACCCATTACCCCTTGTCCTATCATTGTTTGCCACTGAGTAGAGCCTGGCTCCATCCTCGTGACACTCCCCCTTTATATATTTATAGACGCTTATAAGGTCACCCCTCAGTCTCCTCTTCTCTAAACTATAAAGACCCAGCTCCCTCAGTCTTTCCTCATAAGGGAGATGCTCCACTCCCTTAATCATCTTGGTTGCCCTGCGCTGGACTCTCTCCAGCAGCTCCCTGTCCTTCTTGAACTGAGGGGCCCAGAACTGGACACAATATTCCAGATGGGGTCTCACCAGGGCAGAGTAGAGGGGAAGGAGGACCTCTCTCGACCTACTAACCACCGCCCTTCTAATACATCCCAGGATGCCATTGGCCTTCTTAGCCACAAGGGCACAGTGTTGGCTCATGGTCATCCTGTCGTCCACTAGGACCCCCAGGTCCCTCTCCCCTACACTGCTCTCTAGCAGGTCGTTCCCCAACCTATACTGGAACCTGGGGTTGTTCCTGCCCAGATGCAGGACTCTACACTTTCCCTTGTTATATTTCATCCCGTTATTCCCTGCCCAACTCTCCAGCCTGTCCAGGTCTCGCTGGATGGCAGCACAGCCTTCTGGCGTGTCAGCCACTCCTCCCAGCTTAGTGTCATCAGCAAACTTGCTGATAGTACACTCAATTCCCTCATCTAAATCATTGATGAATATATTAAATAATACCGGTCCCAGTACTGACCCTTGAGGCACTCCACTAGTTACAGGCCTCCAACTAGACTCAGCCCCATAGACTACAACTCTCTGGCTTCTCTCCTTCAGCCAGTTCACAGTCCACCTCACTACCTGATCATCCAGTCCACACTTCCTCAATTTAGCCGTGAGGATGCTGTGGGAGACTGTGTCAAAGGCTTTGCTGAAGTCAAGGTAGACCACATCCACCGCTCTGCCATCATCCATCCACCGTGTTATTTCCTCATAAAAGGCTAAGAGATTGGTCAAACATGATTTCCCCCTGGTGAAGCCATGTTGACTGCCCCTCATAACCCTCTTATCCTTGATATGCTTTAAGATGGCACCAAGGACAAGGTGTTCCATCACTTTCCATTCCTAGTGGTTCTGCCAGAGATCCTTGAAATGCTTTGATGATGGCTGATAGGAGAGAAAATAATCATAACTGCAAAGCAGAAGAAAGTTTTGTTACCTTGTATTTGCAGCACTGGCTATGCCTTTGCAGGGGACTTCGGCTACCAGAGAAGTTTAGGAAAGCAAATCTTTACCAGAGGTCTGGCAGTCAGATCGACGGAAGCAAGCAGTGCACAGTGTGCCCACTGCCTCACTTTATTTTTGCCTGTAACTACGCTTGGCTTTTTCAGCCAGGCTCTAAACAGCAGCTGTCAAAATTAGTCAATATTAGTCAGAAAGGAAATGTTGTCGATGTGGAAAAAGAAGCTCTCAAAGTCAGTCTGTTTCATTAAAAGGAAGCAGACAGCAAAGAAAACTCTTACCTGCCTCTGTACAACCTCTGGGCCCTATCATACACCATCAAGGCAATTTAGATTTTGCCACTGATGATAAGGGAAAAAAGAGTCTCAAATAATGAATGAAAAGTCCAACTAGGTCAACAAAGTCCCTGGTGAGTGGCAATAGGGTGTCTGAGAGCTGGTATGCAGAGCTGACATGGAAATGTTTGAAAGGATTCAATTTTATGGCATAGGGAAAGATTGCAGTGGTTCTGTTTCTATAAAAGGTAGGTAATAAACTGTATTTGAACCGTTAGAAGAGGAATGAGATGACCCACATTTCAAAGCTGGGACCTGGTGGGTTATTATTATTTATGATTCATAAAGCATGTGCAGTGCACCAAAAGGAAGGAAGACATGCTCCATACCCAGAGGAACCTCCAATTCAAACCTTGAGAGAAGCCCTCTACTATGCACAAGGCTAAATCCAAGGGCTTTTTTTAAATTCTAATTATAGTGTAATGAAGATCAGGCCTGTTCTTCTTCTGGTCAGAAAACCGAGATCCCTTTTCCTATCTCTACAGCAGGTGCTTTTTATGTTGGGGGAATGCAACAGCTGTGCTCTCCATGAACTGAAATAACAACCTTCAGGTACTCCTGATTTTCCAAGTTTCCTTTTTGATTTCAGTTCCTTTCCCCCTCTCAGGCATTTCTGCATGTTCTCACGTTCTCCTCCACAGAGCTATTGCTGGCATGTCTTCTTTTCCTTTCTTTGTTCCTCAGTTTTTCAATATTATTTTTTTTTCTCCTTCGTGAGCTTTCTATGGAGTCTCAAGTTTGTACTCTATCTCTTACTGTTCAATAACTTTCTTTTTTGAGTCATTCTTCCTCTTTACCTCATCTTGCTCATCCCTTTCTCCCTCTCCTCCCTCCATTCCTCTCAGGCAATATTTTTCCTCTCATCAATCCCATTCTCTCAACCAACTACCACATTCCCCCGTGGATCCCTCAATCCAGTGGCTTCCTCCTTTTCCTTCCTTCAGGAACTGATGTCTGTATCTACTCCTCAAAAGGGCTCCTCATCCTGACCTGCACCCTACTGCCTCCACATCATCCCCTCCACCTCACCTGTTCTGCCTCTTTTAGGCCATGGCCTATAGGTTTCTACCCAAGATAGCAGCTCCTCACCCCAGACCTCACCACCAGCTACACCCAGAGCTTCAGAACTCTCTGGAAAACCCTCCTGAGCACATCACTGCCCTTTTCAAAGTACCCAGCCATGATCTCTGAAAGTTTCCAATGATCCCTGAAGGTCTGCCAACCCCTCACTACTGCTGGGCTCCTAATGTTCCTCCATGATATAGTTTAGTGGCAGACTTGGCAGTCCTGGGCTAAAGGTTGGCCTTGATGATCTTAAAAGTCTTTTCTAACCTCTTTGGTTCTATGATTCTTTTGATTTCATTCCCCAGCTCAACGCACCTGGATTACAGATGAGGAGAGATGGTTGGGACACGGGACTGTGTTCCCATGGGGGAGGGTAAATCTGTCCAGCTTCCTCCCTCCTTCCCCGAAGGGTCCCGCCTGGCACGTACTTGTCCAGGGGCTCGGGCGGTGCTGCAGGGCCCCGAGGAGAGCTCCAGGAGAGGAGCTCTGACTCTGGAGCGTGGGGGAGGAAAGAGACGGAACAGAGAGCGGCGGGGGACACGGATGGATGCCTATGATGCCCTGCTGCGGGGGAGCTGCGCGACCCTTGCGTGGGCGGCGGGGACCCTAGGGTCGCGCAGCTCCCCCGCAGCTGGGCATCACCCCGTCGCGGTACGCGGTCTCCCCGGACCATCATCCCCCATCGCGGTACCCGGTCTCCCCGTCTCGCTCCCAGCGCCGTCGTTTACCTTCCACTTTGGTGAGGGTGAGGACGGGGCTGTTGCAAGCGCTGAGGGGGGCCACCCTGGCCGAGTGCTTCTTCATGGCGAGCCCGTCACCGGCGGCAGCTCCCCGCCGCCCCGCGCCTACATCCTGGCGCCGCCGGAGCCCTCCTCGGCGGAGCTCCCCCGATACGACTCCCGGCTCCGCCGCCGTCTGCCGCAGCACCGGGCGGCGGGCTCGCCCGCCCGCTGCCGCTCGGAGCTGCTGCAAACCCGACGTCACCGGCACAGCCCCCCCACGACCGCCCCCAGGGCTCCCGGGGCCGCCCCCCCTCACTCCCCCGGGTCGAGGCGGAGATGGCGCCCGGACGCCTCGGTGAGGGTCGCCTTGCGGAAGTTCCCCCCGCCCCGCTCCGGTCGGCTCCTGCCCCGCGGTCCAGCCTCGGAGCGTCAGTTCGCGGTGTGCCTGGCTCCGGAGCTGAGCTTCCCGGGCACCGCCGCTCAGGCAGAGCAGGCAGCGAGCCCGGCGCGTAATGCGGATGCGGCCACGGCTCCTGCCGCCGCCGGTGCGCCAGGGATTCCCGGAGCTAGCCGGGCTCACGGCCCCGGTGATTTCTGCTGTCTTTTCGCGATCTGCCTAGTACCCTTCTTACTGTCTTACGGGGAAGGGTAGTTGACACTTTCCAAACCAGTATCTCTTTTGCCCGTGTTATCCCTCCTCTATTTTCCTTAAAATCTAGTCACTATTCTGAGTCGATTTTCGTGCGTGCTGTTAATAATTTCTCCCATCCTTTCTACAGCTTTTCTGTTCCTGCTGTGTCCTTTCTAAGAGGGAGGCCAAAATTAGACACAGCAGTCAAGATGAGGATACACCATTGATTTACCCGTAATACCCCAATACTTGCAGTAGCATACTCTATAGCTTTCTTAACACAGATTACCAACTTCTTTTTGAGGCATGAAACAAAGTACCGACACCTACATACAAGTTAAATAAAATGCAGCATTTCACAATTGGATGCCACTCATATGTCACAACTTTTTATAGTGCTTTTTTTCCAGCAATAATTTCAAGACCCCCAGTCATGACACACCAAAACTGCGTGGCAGCTTTACCCTTCTGTCAATATGCAGAAGTCTAACTGCTATTAATTAACAAGACTTAACACAAGTGGATCCAGGAGAGAACACATCAAAATGAATATGAAACATGTAAGAAAGTCTGTACCAGTACAAGCAAAGCTGCTGAGCATGGTGAGCTCAGCGCACTTTAATCCTTATGATTTCTTCCATGGATATGAAAATACTTAGTGCATTTACCAGGTTCCAATACAAGATGCATCAGCAGACAAAGAAACAAATACTCAACATTTCTTAAGACTTGGTTAAATTAAAAGAGTGGACTTTGCAAACAAGACTGGGCAGCCATCGGTACTCCACAAACATTCCAAAGTACTTGTTAATTTTACAAGTACTAGCTACCGAAAAGCAGCCCCGACAGACCATTTAGCAAACTGTGGGAAAATACCACCTTACTTGTGCCAGCAGGACAGCTCTTTGTATTTGAGAGGTGAGCTTTCCTGGGGGGGTCAAAGTGTGAACTGTTAGTCTGCACAGGTCTCACCTCGTGATCAGTGCTCTGACGAAGCTCAGGGGTGGTTTGCATTTTCTATGCCTCTTCTGTGTCAGCCTTTGGGATGAGCTTTACAATAAAAATCATTAGGCTCCTCTCAAAGTGATCCTTCTAGAGAGTATATTCATGTGCTCAGTGCAAAGACCACAAAAGCTTGGCTTGGTCAAATGAAAAAAACCTGGCTTTCATTTCCAGGCCTTCTGAGTAGAAGTATCTGATTCATTCAGCTTCCTGTGATGTTACAGATCATAAGCATGTAGGAAACCGTGGGTTCATCTTGTTTCATTGCGCTATTTCACCTTGGAGTAGTTTCTGGTCTTTGAAAGAAGTTACATAAAAAGGAGGCAGATCTCACCTTGGATGGTCCTGTCCATGAAATATTTTGCAATGTTGCAGTGCCTTTTATCTGAGGATTTCAAAGCATGTGATAAAAATTTAATTCATTTTGCACTGCCTCTGTAAAGAAATGTCAGGCTCACTGGTGAGTAAAATACAAGCACAGATTTTAAGTGACTCCCTCAGATTCAGATGACCAGTAACATCAGAATATGGATAACCCTGACCAGCTTCTGCTCTGAGCTTGCCTTCCAGGATCATTGAAGCCTCTGCTAGGTAAGCAGGAAACTACTAAATCAGCATTTTACATTAAAATTCCACCTACGTTTCCCACAGGTACATGGCTGTGCAAGGCAAGACTATCAGCTTTCCCTACTGGCTGTATCTTGTAATAGATGGGATATTCATAAAAATCTAAAGGATATTTATCAAAAAGTCTTTGTTGCTGGGTACTTAAACTCTTCCTTTCTGCAAGGTTTATGCTCTCATATTTTAAAGGAAAGTAAGTACATTATGTATGCATAGTAACAACGTTCTTTTACTTGGAGGATGGTGTTGCTCACCTAGAGAATTACACTGAAAACAAGACTTTTTTTTTTTAATAGCATGTTATTTTAACTCCGCATATGTTTAATATTGCAGGATTTGTGCAGCTGTTAACATGTTCCAGGCCTGCAATGTTTCACTAAAGCCTAGAACTCCAAATGTCAAAGACTTGTATGGCAGTATCTTCAGCAGTCGGCTGGACCTCTGCTTGTCTAGATCAGGTGGTGTCCAAGGGCACTGCTTTGCAGAGACTGGTGCACCTCTGCCAGTGGTGCTACAAGAGAACTAGGAGGCATCTAAGCCTTCAAACCTCCTGTCCTCCTTTCTCCTATGATGATGATGATGATGATGATGATGCCTTGCACAACCACATCACTCAAGCCTCTTCAGTGTCCAAGGTAGTCAACCCAAAGAAGCTTTCAAGGGGCCAAGAACAATTAGTATCCAACTAAGACTGGTTTCAAATTAGGGATAGGACATCCAGCTCCTTGCAGGCTTTTGAAAGTCTTTTGCCCAGTGTGTGTGTGAAAGATAGCTGCCTGGGGCTAACCCTGTCTGATACGGCTCTGCTCGACCCTCATCCCAGAACTTTTAACTCTGTCAGTCTCTGATTTCTCTTGCTGCCCTTACAGGCACACACACTCACACCAGAGATCCACACTAGGCCCCTGTCTTACACTGTGCATAAAAATATCAGCCATGTATCACAATAACAAAAAGTTGTGTTTGTTTAATGAAGACCAGGGTGTTTGAGGACTGTGTTCCACGGGCTCTGCAGTGAGAGTTACATTTGGCAGAAGGCTTGTTACTTTCTGCAACTTGCATCACGCTACAGCCTCCCCATCTCCCTAAGCCTTAACACATTTGCTGTTGGATTATGTTTAGTTGAATTTACAATAAGCAGCTTACAGTATAAACAATGTAAAACACAGGTAACCCTGAGGATGCAGTCAGGGTAAAATTTCAAGTCAAATTTATAGCTTTTCTTTTTAATTTACAACACCTCTCCTGTATTCAAGTGGCAACAGGGGAGAAGACCATGGATGTTTGGGCTGCAGACGGTTTACTAACGCAGATAGGAAGCTCTTGAGGCTTCAAAACTGGAGAAAGCAGACTTTAATTTCCAGTCAAGAACAACGATGCTCCACATGAAAAAGGCAAGGTCAGATTAAAAACCCAGGATGAGATAGTTAGAATTTGCCTGGTTTGAAGAATTTGTAGAATCTGTAATTTGATGGAACTGGTTTTGTTACAGTCAGTTACCCTTCTTCATTTTAGATTAAGAAATTATAGTCACATAAACCTGCATACAAGTGTGCAAACATCTGGAGAAATACTGCTTTTAAGCTCATGCATCATCACCACTTTTCTGAAAGATTTCTTATTGACATAGAAAAAGTAGATTCAAGAAAAAACTAAATTCTCAGCATTATGTGTGCTACAACCTTTGACTTTTTTCCTAATAGCTAGTTTATGAAACACGTGCCCTGTTGGTAATGTGCACAGTTGGTATTTTTCCAGTTCAGACATTTTTGTGTATAGTGTACTTATTAATAGGATATTTATTAATTTCAGTGCTTGCCTCACCACTGAGGGCAGTAATTGTTGTGCTTAGCAACCCTAAAGGAAACGGAATGTGGACTTTTAGTTGTGTAGCCAATTTCCTAATAGATTTCATCTCACGCCAGAATGAATTCATCTGCCAGGAGTCAAATACATGCATGAAACCACACTGCCCACAATCTGTCAGAAACAGATCATCCTTTCCTTTAGTTTAAGTAATTTGGTGAATATTCTCCACAAATAATTATTAGCCTGTTTGTGAGGGGCTTGTTCTACTTGCATGCTGTTATTACTTTTGTTTGGCTACCACCTAATAATATTTTAATCTTTTATTTCCCAAGTGAAAAAAACCCAAACATAGATGTCCAAAGCACATTTCCAACACAAATAATAGCTATTTTGGAAGTGATGTTTGCTGTCTTGCAATCATTCTGAAATCTGTATTTAGATGTGCTGTCTGGTGACCATCCACCACTGTTCTGTTTGCACACCTCCTACATTCACAACCTCCACTCAGAAGAAATTCACATTTTGTTAAATTTACATACAGTCTTTCTCTCCAATATTAGCTGAGCTGTAACGATGATGATGTCTTTCTAAATCTTCCTATGCCAAAACAGTTCAGATTCTTTCAGTATCATGTCTTGAATTCACAGAACAAAGCCGTGAGGGAAAGAGGATTAAAACCTGTCTGGCTAGAGGTGTTTGCCAGACTGCACCAAGCAGAGACTGCTGTATCTGAATGTCTTATCTTCAATTTTGATCATATACGCAGTGCTACAGATAACAGTCAAATCTGAGGTGTCCATAAAAGCTGCAGGTTGTATATGTGACCATATATCCAACAGTTCCTATACACGAATGCAAAATCCTGGTGAGAATTCCATCTTCATGCTTTTTTTTTAACCTTCTGTCTATAACTGCAGTAAGTGTTACTGGAGAGATAGCACTGATCAATTTTATTTCCAAATCTAATAAAATATTAACTGTTTCCAATATTTTCTGAGAAGCTCTCATGGTTTTGTGCATACAGAACAGCTGCATTTCAAATAATACTGCTGAATTCCACAAAATATAAGGAATAAAGCTAGCTTAAGTCTCAAAATTTCAACATGGGACAACATGAATTTAATTTTCAGGCTTGTGCTTTAGGATTTTGACAGGAAACATTCATGGCTTAACCATGCTTTTGAAAGGAAACTTTTTGTCAGTTTTTCTGTTCCTTTGAATTTTAAAGAAAAATAATTCAGTGCCCATGGGCAGGAATGGAATTGTGAGGTTTTGTGTATGAAGCCTTACATTTACAAGGCAATCAGATGTTTGCCAAGCTGCTTCAAACCTGTCTGACAGTGCTGGCGATTAAGGGCATCCCAAAGCCACACAGTCTTAGTCTTCATTGTCTTCAGCAACACAGGGGAAATGAGCACTGGTATTAGCCCAAGGCAATACTTCCCCAAAAATGGACATGTAGGAGAAATATGACAGAGATTATTCACTTTCTGAAGGCCACTGGGTCTCCTACAACCAACAGCAGATTGAGA